ATCTGGGTAGTTGTTAATGGGAGTAAACCCCTGCTTAAAATACCCCATAGACCCTGTTCAAACCGATAGATATTGTATATATTGTATCGGAATGTATGGTGTTTCGGTATGTATAGGACATATAGTTGGGATTTATGGTTGTTCTATAAGGATATCCACCCTTGATTTATTTGCTATTGGTTTCAATGGAAAATACACATAAATGTAGAAATTAGTTTTTTCCCCATAGGGCCCCATAGGTTTTAATAAAATTTTGTCAACCCTGCTTAAAATACCCCATAGAGACCTATACAAAATAATCTATCGGGCGCTACCGGATTCTATATGTGCATTTGTCCATGGGTTTTTCCGGATACAGCCCGATAGAAAATGTATAGGAAATTACCTATAGGCACACCATAACTTTTACATTTTCCCTATTGAGACCGATAGAAAATAACTCAATGAAGGATATATAGGGATATCCCTATAGAGCAACCATAAAACATTTGACAAAATTTTATTAAAACCTATAGGGTCCTATAGGGAAAAAACTAATTTCTACATTTATGTGTATTTTCCCCATTGAAACCGATAGCAAATAAATCAATGGTGGATATCCCTATAGAACAACCATAAATCTCAACTACGGGTCCTATACAAACCGATACACCCTATAGAAACACCATACATCCCGATACAAATATCTATCGGTTTGAACAGGGTCTCTATGGGGTATTTTAAGCAGGGAAATGTTGTATGGTTGTTCTATAGGGATATCCCTATATATCCTTCATTTAGTTATTTGCTATCGGTCTCAATAGGGAAAATGTAAAAGCTATGGTGTGCCTATACTCTCTAAAAATGAAACAGTGGATTTTCACTGATTGACAGTGTATATTAACTATTTGCCGCAGTTATAAGTATACCACTAGCAATTAGTGAATACTTACTTTTTCATGTAGCGATGTCTTTGCACTAATTTATTTAGTGGAAATTACACTGTACAAATTAGTGAAATAAGTTTAGTTCAAAAAAGTTAAAATTTCACTATTTTATGTCTAGAGTTCAGGAAAAGTAGTGATAATAAAAAACACTAATTTGGAGAAGTTAAAATTTCACTAATTTATATTGAAAAACACTAATTTTAGAGTGAATAATAACTCACTGACGAAAATAGTGAAAATTTCACTGTTTTACTTTTAGAGAGTACTTTATAAATATTCATCCTTGAGAATACGATATAAAACAATACATGTGAATAAAGGTAAATTATACATAATGTATAATGTAACAAAAGCCCTATGCAAAGCTCAATTTGATAAATAAATAGCACCTGGTGTTTAATTTGTAATTACTAGGGGTGAGCTAAGTAAAAAGGGAGCACTGCGTTAAGGTATTCCTAGACTTCTTTTTAAGTTTAAATAAAAGTTTGCTTTTAATTGAATCCACCTATTCTTTACAGACTCGTACTTTAGAATTATAACGAATTACATTATAAATACCTACTAGTTTAAATGATAACAAAACCCGGCGATTTTTTCAATTTCAACAAGAAACAGAAAATCTGCTATTACGCAACAACATTCTTCGGTCGGCCCTTTTTTCCCATTTTTGCAGTGTTATTTTTGAGTTATTATGCGCGATAACCAAACCAAATTCGCTGACAGGGGGTTGTATTTTTAAAACATTGTTTAAAAAAATAAATGTCAATATTTTATTTTAAAATTTCTCAACAATTTAAACCAGGGCAAATTAGGCTAATTTAAAACGTTAATAACTATTTTATTTTATAAAATGTGTGCATGTATTTACATATTCAAATAGGAAATTAAAATACCTTTCGATTGGTGTAACTATTCTTTATACCTAAAGTTAATAATTTTAAAGATAATTCATAATTTTCAATATTTTCAATATTACTTTTTATCAACAAGGGGGTGAGTTAACTGAATTGATAGGACGGTCGCGACGCTATCCATGGTTATTATTTTGTTGTTGCCCGTAAACTTCTAATGGACCACGAACGTGAAACACTTTATACACTAGGATGGTGCAAAATATGAATATTTTTCAAATTGAAAAACGCCTGTAATTATATATGTTAAAAATAAACATTTTGCTGAAATTTTAGTTTATTTTTTTAAAATTAATTCCACCGACCCAAAGACATCTTAAATATTAAAATTATAATATTTAGCCAGGGGTGGAAAACGGTTTAAAATTTTTTTTCGAACCAAGACGTTTTTTTAGCATAATTAACTTTTACAGAATTAGGTAAGTGCAATTTTGTTTAAAATAAACATTTTGGTAAAAACATTATTTTTTCACCAAAATATTTTTTTTCTCATACACAAGTTGTCTATACGAGCCCTAACTACTATATGTTGGAACAAACAACTAGTTTACTAATAAAACGCTAGTTTACTGAATCAATTTGATTTTAATGTTTTTATATTGTAGAATTGGAATTAGCAACATTTTAGATATCATTTTATAACAGTTGTAGGAGAAAATTCTCATTATTGTATGATTGAAATTTATTTAAGTGATTCATGTTCAATAAATGCTGACAACTTAATGTTGGAACAAAACGTTTTAAAGTAAAAAAAAACACATATTAATAAGATGTAACGTCGCCTTTTGTCCGAATAACTGCCTGAACTCTATCAGGCATCGTATTCACAAGTAAAATTATCCCAAATTTCTTGTAATTTGGTACGCAAGTGGTATGGTTTGTTGTGGACTATTCTTCAGATGTTGCTTCATTTTGTGCCACAGTGTCTCTATCGGATTAAGATCCGGGCTGCTGGAAGGATGTGACAAAACCTTAATATTATTTTCCCCAAACCATTTTGTTGTAGATTTTGCAGTACCTATGGCATGACCAGAATTTAATAGCGCCAAAGAAGGACATTTATATTATAAATTTATAGTCGTTTTAAAAAAAATATAAATTTATTAAAAAACATAAACATAATTTTTTAAAACATACATTTATTTAGTTTTTTAGGTATACTTTCGACTAGAAGTTATTTTTTTTAGCAAAGATTGCAATTTATTGCAATTCATGCTTATATTGAGCTTTACTATACTTAGGTATAGAGTAATAATAACTTAGGTATAGAGTAATAATTAGGCATAGAGTAATAATTTTCATTGTAGCATTTGTTTTTTATAAATTTTCACATGGTTGGTATATGATTTTTATCAAAATAATTAAAAAATGCAAGAAATTTCTGTTCAACGTTTTTATTGTTTCTAGTCCAGTTTAAAAAACAATCATGTGTTGTGTACCCACTAAGAGCAATATATTGCTCTTAGTGGGTACCATAAAAATATGTTTCAAATACATGTAAAAATGTTATTTAAAAGTAGGTGTTTTTATAATTCAAGAGGAGGACAAAGGAGGACACTATCATTGAGGGGGACAAACCTGGTCAAAGGAGGACTATCCTCCACAAAGGAGGACGTCTGGTCACCCTACATGAGGCACCGTCTTGCTGAAATATAAAATCTCCATTGGGATATAAGTTTGCAGCACTTGCGTTAACAGTCCCTTCAATAAAGTGTAATGTGCCCAATTCTTTCGCCTTGTGGAAACTTGACTTTTCTTTTGAGACAATTATGGAAGACTTATCTCGAATGACGCGTTTTCGGTACTTTCCCACACAAACATCAAATTTACTTTCGTCACTGTAAATGACTTTACTCCAGTCGTTTTTAGACCACGAAAGCTTAGATTTAGACCAATTTTAAAGATTTTTTTTTGAACTTCTGTCAATAAGGGTTTTTCTTTAGCCTGTAAATTTTTATAAATATATAAATAAATATTAACTATACTTTATAAAAGCTGAGACCACCTTGGTGGATATATTTACGGCAGCATTCTCGGGAAACTTTCATTCCAGACTCTCTATTTCACCTTGCAGTCACTTCCCGCAGCGTGTTTCTTCTTCCTGACTTGCAAATTTGAATCAAATGTCTTGCGCTTCTTTGAGAAACAATTTTGGGACGACCTGAACTTTTACCACGAATATTAATATTCCCGGTTTCACCATATTTTTTAAGGATATTAAACACAGTAGACGTTGCTATCGCAAATTCAGTAGAAATTTCACGCATTGTTTTGCCTTTATGGTAATGATTGATAATAATTTCGTGTACTTTTCGATCGGTAGGCTTCCCGCGTGTCATTGTTGAGATAAAAGTGAAGAAACTATAGAGAAAAGAGAATATGTGTTCCAACAATTAGTTGCCAGAGATTTTTGAACATCAAACAGTTAAATAAATTCTAATAAAAAAATATTAGGAATTTTACCGCACAAATGTTATGAAATGACATATAAAATACTACTGTAATACTGAGTAACTGCATGTACCTTATGTATATATAAAATCAGTTGTATGTGTAATTAGAACTTTACTTAATTTTTTTTATTACCAAATTAAAAATAGAATTGATGGTAATACACGAGGTAACCCACTGATTTTAAAAATTATAAGTTGCATATGAATTAACGGCTAAGGAAAAAATCACAAGGGTAGTCATGCGCAACGCGTCGCTAAGAGAAATTTCTTATTAATAAGGATTTTTCCTTATTGATACCGAGTCGGTATTACCGACTAGTCGCGACTGTCCAAATGCTCGGAACGAACAAACTTATTTTTTTTAAAACTGTATTTTGAAAATAATAAGTAAAGAAGTTATTTACCTTTGTATCGTAAAAGTTAGGGTTTTTATTGTTTTTTAGATATCATAATTTTATTTAAACTAACTATAGTATACTAAGTATGGAATAGTAAAACAAATCATGGTAAAATTGTGGCAAGGGCCCCGAAACGCCTTTTTTCTATCGTGTTTTACGTTATTAAATTACTATTATTTTAATTGAATGTTGGTTTAATAAATGAAATATCCGGCTTCAAAGTGGGTGTTGTTAACCAACAAACTAAGCAATAAATAAATATATTTAATGTCACCAAACCAAAATTTCACATACTTAGTAAGTATTACTTACCAAAAGTAAAAAGTTGCATAAAGCAAGTAGAACCTTACTCCCAACAAGGGAAACAACTGCCATTTCACTAAAAAAATCCAAGTTCCTCGCGCACTAAAACAATGGCACTAAACTACACTAACAAACTAAATAAATAATGTTACATCTCGAGCAAATTTATTGGCACTAATTCACGAGCTCATTTTATCATTAGTCACCGTAAGTGCTTCTAAGTGAATCTAGACGAACTACAAATTCAAAATAGTGTTTTTAAACTCGTACAGGAAGGAAACAACAATTAGCAGAGCATAAATTGTGGTGGGGTTCGAATCTCCACCATGCATGGAACGTATTACTATTGTTATAGACTGGACATTGTTCGAATTATGCAGATTAATAACATACATATATATATGTATACATATATATATATATTGTGTTTAAACTTGGTTTTTGTAAGCGTGCCTTAACTTCACTATTAACTCACATACTTGCATGAATTATTTAAATAGGTAGATACTTACCTAAGTATATAAATTTGTTTATATTAGAATCTAAAGATACGATTTGAATATTTTTGTAGGTGCATCTATTGATTTACAAATACAGGTTAAATTTTGAGGAATAGGTACCTAAGTACATATTTTTAAATATTAATTCAATTAGGTTTATGTCCATAAATTTAACCTTGATTCAAGTACAAAGGTATTAATTAGATTAATATTGAAAACGGAGGTAATTAGCTAATTAATTATCTTATTCTAACTCTGTATTAAATATTTAAAATATTTTTTAAGAAGCATAAATTAACTTAAATAATTATTTAAGTTAATTTATAATAATTATTTAAGTTAATTATAATTAATAATTACTTTACACGAGTTCGCATTATTCTTAACATAATTTCTTCATTACTTAAAAACTCACAAATAAAATACTTATTCGACACCGGTGCACTATGTCCAATAAATTTCTCTAATTAGTAATTAAGACGGTGCTTTAGTTAACGAATTATTTTCTTTTACTCAAGAAGGAAAGTGTAAAAATTACGTAATGTACAATAGAGAACCAGGATAGTTTTTGCATTTGTTGCTTTAGGGGGAAATATATAAATAAAACACGTGTGGAAAATTAAATTTTGTGCACATATATGTTGTACCTATTTCAAAATTAAAATCATATAAAAGTTTAATTTCACAAAAATTGTGCCTAGTCCGCCCGTTCGCACGGAGGTGTTTTAAGAACCTATTTAAACCCCCAGGAGGGTTATAAAAATACATAGTTTTATAAAATTTCACTTCAAAATTTATTGAATATATTTATAGGTTTTCAGTATTTCAAGTTGAAATACTGAAAACCTATAAATATATTTGTTTAATGTAATTTTAACTAAAATATTGAAAAATAAATTGATAATATACATTTATTTAAGAAATTTGATAACCCCCAGGAGCAAATTCTGTGCACGGCCCTGCAGTCCGCAGATAAAAGCGCCCGAAGCCGTTTTTTTACAACAAAAAAGTATTTTGGATATTTAATTTATTGTGATTAACCTAGCTATTTCTTAAAAAAATAATAGGCGTTTTTGCAAAAAAAAAAATGACAAAAAACCCTCGTTTTTCTATACTTTTTCCAGAGATATAGAGGAGGGAGAAGGAGCTTGGACCATTGCGCATCCAATTTTATGGCGACAAGCTCATGGCTGACATTTTGAACTAGATGTCGATAATATTGTACTGTTCGTAGTGTGAATTAAAACACGCACTGGGTTATTAACGAACTAAACTATTTATTTTATAACTAAATTACACTTAAAACACTAAGAAACTATAAAACTAACTAAACACTTAACTACTAATTATTTATATATCACCACTGTACAAGAGTCTATTTATTTGCACGTATATTTATTTATTTTATCGCTAGTACCAAAGCTCAACTGACTTCTCCATGCTTAGCCGTTCCTTATATATTCAGCGCCTACGTGATACTAGTCACGCAAGCGTCTTCTCGAACATTCCAGCAAGCTCCACACCACTCTCGATTGTTCGAGCGCTGACTCACCGGCGCTGACTCACCGGCGCTGACTTACCGGCGATGACTCATCGGCGATGACTCATCGGCGATGACTCACCGGCGATGACTCACCGGCGATGACTCACCGGCGATAACTCACCGGCGATGACTCACCGGCGATGACTCATCGGCGATGACTCATCGGCGATGACTCATCGGCGATGACTCATCATTCCGAGATCTAGAGGGGTACTCGCTACATTGCCCCCGTCTTAAAACATTTTCGTCCCGAAAATGGTCCTCAGCTCCATGGCGATATTTGCATAGAGATTGTGACGTCCTATAGAAGTAGCAGTCCACGGTCTTCTTTCCGGTTGTTCTTTTAGGGTTGTAGCAACAGACAAGAATTTGTATGCCACTAAATCTGAAGATAACTTCCACCATACTTCTAATTATTCTCGTCTAAACCGCCATGGCTTCTGATGGGAGAGCTGCTTCGTTACCAGATAGAAGATACTTCTGTTGCCTATATGCTCATTATCCACAATTTCAAGCACCTCTCCAACTTTGGGACTCTGCCTTCGTAGCTCGTCGACCCGTCCAAACTTGTTTTTAAAGACAACCGCTATTCCCCTGGACATGCTTCCTAAGGTCTTCTGCAACCCAGTGTGCCAAGGAGTAATCGGCCGAAACCGTGAACAGATCTTGTTGTTCTTCTCGAGTGACTCCATACCGAGCTTTTTTACCGCTCAAATATAGATACATGAAGTCATCAAAAGGTAACTCGTCTTCCGGTGGTTTAACCCGTCTTACTCTAGCATCGATCCATGACTTCGTATGGTCCTTCCCAAAAAGTCTCGGTGAATAACTAGGACGGCGCTGAGGGTTGTATAACCAAACTGAAATCCTCCATTTTCTGCCTTGATGTCATATGGCTATTTCATTCTATCACTGGCACTCTGGATGTTTAAACGTAATCTTCTCCAGCAATATCTTCCCCTGGTAGGCAACCAAACCTCAGATCACAAGGTAAACGAAGTTCACGTCCCATAACAATGCTCCCAGATAGCACAAGATGTCCTGAGGACATCCGGTTTAAATCCTTTACAGACGGTCGCGACCAGAAAACCGATGGACGTCCTGAGGCCTAGGCCTATGGACGTCCTAAGGCCTAGGCCGATGGACATCCTGAGTACGTCCATCGGTTTTTTGCCTGCGACAATAGTTGAAGATACAAGTTGATATATCACCCTTTATAAAGGCCTTTATAAAAGGTGATATATCAATTTGTATCTTCAACTATTGTCGCAGGCAAAAAACCGATGGACGTACTCAGGATGTCCATCGGCCTAGGCCTTAGGACGTCCATAGGCCTAGGCCTCAGGACGTCCATCGGTTTTCTGGTCGCGACCCGGGTCCAAGTGAAAAAAAATTACACCTTGTTTTTTATTAAAAATACTCCTTAATCAAGCACGATAAAAGATTTTAAAAAAAAGTTGTCAATTTTTTTTCACTTATATGTCTATAGATAGACCCTTCATCCACTTAAGTGGAATTGTGTCTTTAGTTGTCAAGTATTTTTAGCAATTGCAATTTTCCATATCTCTAACTTATTTAAAAATATCTAGTAAAATTAATTAATTCATTGCATTAAAAATATCATTACAAATTTTAAAAAATTATTTTTAATTATATTATATATATTAGGTATATTATATTTTTAATTTGTTGAATAAAAAATATCACATTGGCCAAATTAATAATTTGAATTAATAATATTATATGAGAAATGTATAATACGAATTAAAAATACCATTGGAGAAATTTCTCCACTTTAACATTTAAATTATTTAATTTGTCCTATAATATTTTTAATGCAATAAATTGTAAGAGTTTATTTCAAATTTACCGCCAAATAAACAGTTGGTATTGGAAGTAACCAGTTTAGTGACTTTAAGTTGGCAGTCTGAAATCCGCCATGTTGGCATTGTTCATAAAACAGCGTGTGCTGTTTTTAGTTAGCTCCCTGTTTAGTTAAATTTCTGTGTATTTAAATATATGATATAAGTGAAAACAACTTTTATTATATGGAAAAACCCCTACAAAATTTAAGTTTTCACTTGATATTTTTAAATAATTTAGAGATATGAAGGTATGTGAAATTCAATGGAGAAATAAATAAAAATAGTATTATGAAAGGTTTATTGTTTTAACTTAAGGAATATATGGTTAACGGATTGACCTCCTTTTCCCGGACACCCTGTATATATATATATATATATATATATATATATATATATATATATATATATATTAACAAAACACTTGTTAACACTGTATTACATTTCCCTATTATAATAAAACTATGTCCTAATTCGGTCCTCATATGTCCCGAATTGGACAGCTTGGGGTCAAATACGGACGTCCTGAGGACATCCTATTTCGGAAGTCTGTGGACGGTCAAATACGGACGTCCTGAGGACATCTGAAACAGTCTATTTCGGAAGTCTGTGGACGTACTACGAACGTACTTTTGCAGACCCCGGACATCCTGAGGACGTTCGGGTTGTCCTGGGTGGAAGTCCTACGAACGTCCTACGAACGTACTTGTGCTATCTGGGCTAGCGGGTGTCTGGCCGGTTGTATCGTGGATAGAAGATTATCGGGATTATTAACTGGTTCCGGTCTTCCCTCTCTTCTGGAGTCTCCAGAACGCGCTTAAGAAGTCCGTCACTTAAGATAATGGAATTCCATTGGGCCCAGTACGATTTCACATTTGGCGAATATTGGGCGACTTCCTGCCACGTTGGTTTGAGGTCATTCTTCTTCCAGTCGATGATGGGTTTCAAATCTGGATCCCCTTCCTGGTCTTGTTGAACCTCATGGGAGTGCCAATGATCATCCACAAGTGGAGTCCTGCGAATAGACACATCCTTTTCTTCGGCCCTGAGACAATGTTTACAGTCTTCCGGACACGGTCTTCTTGACAAGGAGTCAGCATTTCTATGGATGGTCCCAGCCCGATGTTCTGTGTCAAAGTCGAACTCCTGTAGTCTCTCAATCCATCTTGCTACCTGTTCTTCAGGATTCTGGAATTGCAAAAGCCATTTTAGAGCAGCATGATCCGTTCTTAGCAAGAATTTTCTTCCATATAGGTACTTGTAAAAGTGTTCGACTGATTTTACCATCCGGAAGAGAATAACTCGGGACTGGTGAGCTGGTAAACGCGTTTTTCAGGTTCCTAAAGGCTTCTTGGCATTCGTCGTTCCATTGGAATCGTCTTTCTTCCTCTGTTAAACATGTTAAAGGCTTAG